TTCCTCCCGCTTGGCCAGCTAGCCAAGAAAGAAAACCCCACGCCATCACAAGCTCAGTTTGATACCTATTACCCGCATATTTTACAACAGAAACCGTCTTTGTATGAAAAAATGAAGGGGTTAATAAGAGCGAAGTAGCTAAAAATATTCTAAAATGCCTCAGGTGAAACGCACAGAAAAAAAAAGAACTAGGGTAAGAAAGGAGTCTGAAGTATTTCCACACAGACGCCAGGTTCCTCTGTCATCTAATTCCTATTAAACTCACACTGGTAAAGAGAAATCGCAACTTGCAAATTGTTTCCTGCAAATGCTATTGCAAATAGAGAGTCAGACTACTCTTCATAGTCAGTTTTCATCCAGTAGGTTAATTGCATTTATTGGCTGCTTGTATGAAGACGTCAGTCTTCAGGGTAACACTTTTTCGCTTGAAATAAGAAGTAAAACAGTAACTTTTGTTCTCACTCTATACATTTATACTTGTTTTTTTAAATAAAATTTAATGGAATTAAGAATGATCTAGCCGAACACGCCATCCTTCAGTCTAACTGTGCCACTGTGATTTTATAGTTCTCTTCAGGGTACGATTGTCTATATCTTTCCTCGTATAAACGTTTAACAGATGGATCTGCCCTTTTTGTCTGGAGCTCGCTGCTCTTGATATTATGATCCAACCTTGAGAAACTAGACATCGTACAAATTCTTGCCCAGACGAAACGGTAAACACAGACGATGCATTCAGCGTTCTTTTTTTATTCAACATTTACCTTTTTTGATTATTCCGTATTTTTAACATTTCGCAGCAAGAGTGATGGCTCGTTTCACTTTTCAGTTTTTGTGTTGTGATTCCAGTCCAACGCGGCACGCGAAACCAAATTTGTTGCCTTCCCTCATTAGTAACCTTTGCTGTGATTTGTGGTCCGCAGTGCACCCGAAGCACTGCTTTAATTAAAGCCGCAGTGCAAACAGGAGACAAGACCGCCAAGGAAAGCAGATGTCATCTGTAACTGTCGACGCAGGCCTGATGAGGGTTAAAAAAGGGTTAAGCTTGGTTTGATTTATGGACTGTTTTCACTCTGCTCTTGCCCTCTAGGCTTATGAACCAAATGGCTTATAACTGCTTACGGTAGTCCCCCATTAATTAATTATATGTTAAAATCCATTAGGTTTTATACAGTGTATTTCACATACTCTTGCCATCAGTAAACTAATATCGGAGAGCTATGGTGCTGTCTTTGTGTGCTTTTTATGGCCACGCCACACTGCCTGCAAAATGTAAAAAGGCCCCGAGGACAAAATAACATAAGTGAAAATAAACGATCATTGTCTCAGGAGGCCTATATAAGCAGTTTAATGCCTTTTTTTGTCATTGTCGTTTTCTTATTTTCTTATTGAGAAGGGCTTAATTCATAGCTCAACACGGTGATGCACGTGGGTAATTTTTAACACAATTTCTCAAGAAATAACTATTTTCTTTTATAATGTTTTAAATTTCTGTTTTACACGTATAGGCGTGTACAGTATATGGCCAGTATTCAATTATGTAAAATCTTTCAAGACCTGCCCTTTAACTAAACCATCCTTTCATGCCCTGTAATGTTCATACAAGGCTGGCGAAAGATGTGTTGATCTCTAGATAGACGGAAACTTAACATTCCCCCTCCCCATAAATTAATAACATATGATGGCACGTTTGGGTCTTCTCATAAACTATAAATATATACTTTAGCAATAAAAAACTCTCATCACGCTAACTGCCAGCAGACGGAGAGACCACAATTGCTGCACAACAGAATCACAAGACCACAGTGGTTTGTGTGTGAAAGTACAAGAGTGGAACACAAAGGAGGTGGAACAAGGGGGAGGGCCTCGTGGGACAGGGGTGTAACCGTGGCGATGTCAGGGCCTTGAGTTTGGGCTGTGCTTTAGAGTAGGCCTCATTTTTGTTTTTTTCACCCATCAATCTGTCAGTCCTTCTTTCTGCATAAGTACTTAAATTGTACCCTGTTAGAATTCCTTTTCTGATTACCATAGTTGATTGGTAAGATGTGAAATGTCTTTGGAGAGATTGTAAGCTGAATAAAAAACCATGCTGAATAAAAATCCATATACTGTCTTAGAAGATAAAGCAAAATCCTCTAAAAAATGCTGTTGGGAATTATCAGCAAGGATGGAGCTTTAGTGAAGGGTTCTTGATTTTAAGATAGTCCTGAACCAAAGTTCTTTTTATATCTTTTTAGAAATCCAATTTTATAAATAAAGAAAATACCATGCTGCCTTCTAGTCCAGTTTTTAAGGGCCATTATTGTGTTGAAGGCACTTCATAAATGTGCTAAATGTTTTAAAGGCAAAGGAAATGGTAATTAAACTGTGCCAACTGCGTTGCTAATACCAGAACCCTTGGATTGCCTGCAGTAAAGGCCTTTTCCTGTTTTCGAGATAACATTTGTCTACTTTTAGAAGGCTGAAGTACGCTGACATAACAATGGGAGAAACAACCATAGGAAATCAGTCCTCGTTAGCATTTCGCGCCCAGACAGACGTATCTGCTGTTATGCCTGGTAGCCATAGCAACAATGACAATCAAAATGGTTGTCATCATAGTAATTGTATTACTGAACAGACCACATCCATTCTCCTCTTCTGAGTGGGGGTGTTCTGTGATAGTTTGAGGCAGACATCCACGCATTTTGCAGGCTCCATTTCTGGGTATAATTCCCCAGATTTGAATAGAGAACTTCTGGAATTTAATACAAGGAATTATATCCATGTTTTTTTATTTGTTTATCACATATCGCCACAGGTTTGCCACCAGTTCTGGCTGATAAAAGACTTTGACTAAATACAGAACCTTTTTTCTCTCTTATAGTGACAAATCTCTTTCCATTAAATCATAGCACTGAGTGACCAATCTGTTTTTTTCCTGGCTGCAGCTCGCTGCCATAATGGAGCCCGAAGAGAAGTGTACTTCATTTACGTAGGCTAGACTGCACCACCAGGCTTTCGAAAATTACAAAACCTCTCGTGTTTTTTGTCTTGGGAGCTGCAACAGCTGTCAGGCTTACACGTGTACACCAGACCTCACAAAGTTAGAATGTAACTGGGAAATATTAAACTTGTCCAAGCATACTGAAACATGCACAGCACCTAACAGGCATTAGGCCAGCAGCTATTTCACCCTGCAGCTGAGCAGGTGTGAGCCTGGTCAGTACCTGGATGGGAGACCTCATGGGAAAAACTAAGGTTGCTGCTGGAAGAGGTGTTAGTGGGGGCAGCAGGGGCCGCTCAACTGCGGTCTGTGTGGGTCCTAAGTATAGTGATGGGGACACTATACTGTAAAAAGGCGGCGTCTTTCGAATGAGATGTAAAACCGATGGTCTGACTCTCTGTGGTCATTAAAAATCCTTGAGTGTTTTTTGAAAAGAGCAGGGATGTAACCCTGGTGTCCTGGCTAAATTACCTATCGGCCTTTACCAATCATGGCCTCCTCATAATCCCCATCTCTGAACTGGCTTCATCACTCTGTTCTCCTCCCCACTGATAGCTGGTGTGTGGTGAGTGTACTGGCGCACTATGGCTGCCGTCGCATCATCCAGATACCTGTAAAGCTTTGAGTGGTGTCCAGAAAAAGCGCTTTATAAGTGTAAAGAATAATTATTAGAAGTAGTAACTAAAGCAAAAATAATTTCTGATTTAAGACTGTTGGGCCTCAAAATGAGTTACTTTGGAAGGGATATATAGACTTTCTTCTATAGTCACTGTAAATACAATTGTTTTTCTCCAAACAAATATTTGAAGGGTTGCTGAACAGTGTGATATACATAAATTGGAATCTTTGAACAAATGCTGTCTATGTGGGAAAAAAAATCTGAAGAGCTTAAAAGTCTGATTTACGATGGCTAGATGGATGGGACAAGATAGAAATCACCACTTTGAAGGAAATGATGTAGGGCTTCCTGGGTTTTCAAGTGTGTTGATTGTGTTGCATTGTGTCGACAGCACCTGTAGGGAGCTCTGGTGTCTGCAAAGGGAAGTGTAGTGCTCTCCAGCAAGCCATCTGCGTCTCCTGCTCTGTATCCGCAGCTCCTGTCACAGGGAGCAGAGGGCACCAGCGTACTTGTGTGCTGGAGTGAAGGAATGCCTGAAAATGAAGCCTCATAATTCCTTGCATCTATTGAATGCTTTTCATCCCAAATTATCCCTTAGTGTGTGTCGTATAGTAGGAGTCTGACCGCTTGTCAGACTGGGTAACAGCAGCCCTTTTAGAAAGAGAGGTGGGCCAGTGCTTAACCCATCAAATTAAGGGGGAAATGGGAGGTAGGATCGACTGGGCGAACTCTATGTGCATGTTAGCCGGGACAACAAGGCAACCGTAATAGCGGTGCTCACCCCGTGCAGCTTGGGTAAATCCTGGTGACGGTCGGTTAGTGTCATGACCCAGGCTCGAACCTGTGATCGTAGAGTGCTCTGGTAAATCCTGGTCACAGTCGGCTAGTGACATGGCTCGGGCTTGAACCCGTAATCGTAGAGCTCACCCCATGCGGCTATGGTAAATCCTGGTCACAGTCGGCTAGTGACATGACTCGGGCCTGAACCCATAATCGTAGAGCTCACCCCATGCGGCTAGGGTAAATCCTGGTCACAGTCGGCTAGTGACATGACTCGGGCCTGAACCCATAATCGTAGAGCTCACCCCAAGCAGCTAGGGTAAATCCTGGTCACAGTCGGCTAGTGACATGACCCAGGACCCTGTGATCGTAGATCTCTGCCACGGTTCCATTCTAACTCTGTGTTCAGGTAAATCTCAGACACAGTCGGCTAGTGACACAATCTAGGCTTGAAGCTGCAACCGTAGCTCGGGTGAGCATCTTCACCAGTTGGGCTCCCCAGGAGGCCACTAGGATTATACTTCCTAACCAGTAATTTCTGTCTGAATGCCTGCAGCTGATCAGAAGGGTTTCCTTTTAAGTTCATCTCTTTTTTTTTTTCCTGTGTGTTTGCAGCTGGGGGATGGCGGTCAACGTGTATTCTACCTCAATAACCCAGGAGACGATGAGCAGACATGACATCACTGCCTGGGTTAACGACATACTCTGTTTAAACTACACAAAAGTTGAACAGCTCTCTTCAGGTAAGACATATTCCCTCCTTTTTTGCTTTTTTGTTTAACTGAAGCAGTAGAGTAGTTTTCCATCTGGAAGTGTGATATTTTTCACCCCAAGTTTTTCCAAGAATTGGAGGTCACTCCGTTGTATGACCCACTAACTTAGCAACCACAGGAGCAGCTACTGTACCACAGTATGCTGAAGGAGTTACCAATGATAAAAGGACAGTCAGCTTGTCTGCTAGATTGTAATCATCATGACTTAATCATCACATTTATACGAAGTTGTTAGAAACCTCAGTTGTTAGCGGTTTTGAAGTTATCCATGGTCTGCTGCTTTAGTTTTTTTTTTTTTTTCATTTAATAATTAAATGATCTAAGGTGTGATTGTTGTAGCGTGGCTAAGTAGCCCAGGATTTGTACAGTCTTAACATTTGAGCTAGAACACATAATGATTTGATTTAGTTAACAAGGATATTTTTATCATTTTAGACCATAAAGTAACCATGAGAACTTTATCAGTCGCATACGATGTGATTATTTCTAGGATATAGCCTAATTTTCTGTGACACATTTCTTAATGGCATGTTAAAGTGACATAGTAGCTTTTACTTGAACATGGTAAATATGCCACAATTTGTCTGGTTTGCCTGAGTCCTGAGTATTAGCACTAATAATCTGCGTCCAGGGGATACAGTTGTCAGTCAAATGCTGAATGGGTCAGTGCTGGCCTATTTGTCCCCATCGTTGCTGCATGTGCAAAGAAATATATCTGCTTTGCCTATGGTTCTATGATGTATTTTTGTTTTAAAATGGCAAAATGTTTGTTTTTCTCTCAGGTATATTTGCAATTCATTTATAACTTGGTTGGTGAAAGTATGTATAAGCAGGTATAAAGTGCCTCGTCCATTTTAAAAGCAGTTCAATGATGTATAGCCTTCCTGTGGGAATTTTTTCCATACCAACAGACTGTCTCTCTCCAGTATACTTATTCTGCCAAAAAAGCAGAGCATAGTATTTCCATTTGAGATTTGAATCTGTGTCGTATTCCATAGTTTATCTCTGAATAGTGGAACAAATTTGTTGATCTTGTGTGTTTAGATCAACTTGAAAGGGCCCGAGGTGGCGTGGTGGCACAGTGGGTAACGTTGCTGCGTCATATCACCGGGGACCTGGCGAACTGTCTGCGTGGAGTTTGTACGTTCTCCCCGTAATTGTGTGGGTCTCCTCCCACAGTCCAGCGACATACGGGCAGGTTAACTGGCCCTGGTGTGCGTGTCTGTGTTTGTGTCTGTGTGTGCCCTGCGATGGACTGGCGTCCTGTCCAAGGTGTACCCTGCCGTGCGCCTGTTGCTTGCTGGGATAGGCTCTGGCTCCCCTGCCACCCTGAATTGGAAGGAGCGGTTGGACTGTGGATGAACGGATGGACGAAATAGCCTAAACCTTACGTGCGGAGACAAGTTTTAAAGTTTAGATTAATTTGAATTGTGATACACATATAGAGAATTGTGTATCGATTGCACATTTGACTTGACTGCATTGTTAATTAGCTAAGTGCACAAAGTCGCCCAGAAAGGAAGAGAAAGCCACTAGCACCGCAGTAGGGATGGATTACAGGGAACAGCAACCTCAGTGCTGCCTTTGTTTGGTTTTCATCCACCAAGACGCTACTCTGCAACTCTCTAGATTTCTGTATTTCTGCATGCACGGTACCCCAGAAAATGGTGAAATATGACCCTAGTATCTGCAAAGTAGTCCTCAGGCGCTTGACCGTGCTATGCCGAAATTCGCAATCCTCAAAAGAGAGAACAGCAAGGTTTTACTGGAATTTGCTGCAAGTATCAAGAGCAGTTTGTAAGAGTAAACTTGTACCCCTTACTTTACTTTGTCCCAGTTAATATTTCCTTATCATGCTGGTGAACTGTTAGAGAACATACTCCCTTAGTCGCTCATTTTTTGGTTAGAAAGTTGTTCGGCTGCCTCTTCCTAGTAAATGGCTTTGTGGAATAAGCCAAGCGACACCAGGAAAACTGCTCATTTGAGTCTTAAGGTAGTGTTTTTAAGCCTGGGTTTCCCACTCCTGGGACTGGAGAACCACACACCTGCTAGTTTATGTACTAGCCAAGGTCTCGGTTTCACAATTGAACTTGTAATTAACATTATACTCGGATTAACTTGAGCTGCGTTGAGATGATTTATTCTCAAATTTTCCGGGTGTTTTACCCTTTACCATTTCAGCTTTGAACTGTTGCGTTGCTTAAGTAAAATAAAATGCAAGTTATGTTCTGATCAAGATCTTGGGGGAAAAATATCAGTCCTCCTGGTTCCATTGAGGCCTCGGTCAGGTGATTAAACTGGGTGGGATTGAAAAGCAGCAGGTGTTTTTGGTGCAGATATGTGTGTGGGACTTATAGGCATTGCTGTACATTGCTCTTGGTTCTACTCTGTCCACTGTGAAAGCAATTTGCCAGCACAATCAAGACTCGTGCAGTCATTATTGGAGACTACAGTATTAAATTAAAATTATTGAACATTTATGTAGTGTATGTATATACTGTTTTGTCTCACAAAAGAAATCCCTGCATGCAGTCCCACTCACCTTCAATTATGATGGGGACATTGGGTTCACTTAACATTTCTGCTTAAAATTTCATTTTTCAAAGAATACTTATGCTATTAAGCGAGGAATAGCTGGGCTTTGAAAATACAAGCACTGGGCAAAGGCTTTTGGAGTATTTAATGATTTTCATTTGAACTTTGTTTACAAGTCTGTAGCTGCGCTTGCTGTACATCTGAATCCCTTGTCATGCTGAGAAATTAATCCCTTCCCCATGAGATAATTCCTTGATGTAATTGCATGATGTAGAATATACCCGTACATTTCCTGTGTAAGTATGCTCTCTGGTCTACTCTAATCCTTTTTAATGAGAGAATTCCCTGAATGATCTCAAATCCAGCCCTGTGGTTCAATGCTAAAGGTTAACCTCATCTGTTGCAACATGGAGCAAAATTTCCTCCGAAAAAGGCATTTTGTTTACTTCTAGAATTGCAGTTTTTACTCATTCCTTGATTGCGCTGTTTCGATGTCTGTTGCTTTGTTTTCTTCAAAAGTCAGCCTAGCATTGTGTTTCTAGGAGCAGTTTATCTGTTAAGAATCAAGGTGGTATTTTTCTCATGGTGCTAGGGTTTGATAATGGATATCCCCCCTGGTTGTTATTTCATCTGACGATTACTTTTCTCGTTTGTGCCTTGATCTGGTTCTTTGAAATCTTTGGATGTCTGACTGTGTTGTAAGAAACCCTCAATCTCTGAGTCAGAATAATCTAGGCTTGTGCTCTAAGTGTGTGAATTCTAAACATTTCTTTCTTTAGTGCCATTTAGAATTTAGTTCCATGTTAACTTTTCAATGGAATTGAGGTGTTTTCAGTTGTTTATTTTAGTTGTATTAAGGCATTGCATACTTGTGTACATTATTTAACATATAACTGGCCATAGTAAAACCAATTGTTCATTTGAAAAGCGCTGATAATGTTTAGTATTTTGTATGTTTTTATATAGCACTCATGATATAATAAATTGATCTCGTCATCAATGTGGTAGGAATATAAATTGATTTCCTATAAATCACGACTGCCCAGGCGTCTGTTATCTAAAGCAAAAAAAAAAGTCCAGAATCGGAGAGAACATTTTATTCTGAATTATGTATACATTTTCCATGTTTTTGAAGTCTTCATGTTGTCCTCAGATGAGGAATTCACCTGTAACAATATTGTTGTTTGGTGGGTGCGTTTGTGTGTTTCCCAAGATTCAGATCAGTGGTGGACAGTGCTGCTGTATTAGTTTGTCCTCAGATGTTGTTGCCGGTTTTGCAGTTTCCGCGCAAGGGAAGGCTCTGATCCAGAGCCAGGCGTTTTACAGATGGAAGCCCCTGCTACTTGTCTAGGTCTAGTTGTCTGGCAGCACGTTTTCTATAGACCAGATTTCTCTGAAGGGAGAAATTCACACTAAACAGCACTCCATTAAAACCCGTCTGTTTACATACGCCCGGTGGTCTTTCAGCATGGCAGAACGCGCTCACCAGAGCGGAGCGGAGCCTTGTCGTTCTCCGTAGCCTGTGGATGTGTCTGGGCGAAGGACTTAAGGATGTGATCTTTCTTTACGTGACAAGGAAGGCTTGAAAAGAAACTTTTGTCGATCCATAACGTTTTCATCCATCCAGTGTCTTAACGGCTTTAACCAAGGTCAAGGGGGGCCCGCTCCTTCTGCACATTGCTGATATAGCACTAATTTTATGCATCCCTAAAGGCAACTGAGAGCTGGTGCAGGCCTGGAGCTGCTTGGCCAAGAACAGTTAGCTGTGCCAGTCTCTCTTTAACTGCGTTAGGGTCTGAAAGACAGACACGCAGGCAGCAGCTCGGCTTTTGCGCCATTGAGACTACTTTTATGTAACCACATTTTTTCTGTGGCAAGCAGGAAACCCATCAACCCAGTAAGAGGTTTTAATGCGACTTGTCATTTTTCTGGGGGGTGGGGTTTGTGCGTGACGTCTGGGGGCATTGGAAACGCGACAGAGGAAACCGTGCAGTAGGCAGAGCCAGCGTCGTTGAGGCTGTGCTGCGTGCTTGATCCGTTCTGGCCGATTTCTCCCTTCCAAGTGCCCGTTTAAGATCCAGTGGCAAGGGCAACTGACAAAACCACGAGCCAGCAGGACGGACAAAGTCTTCTTTCTTTGCCTTCACGGTATTTCTTTTTGAGTGTTGTCAGGCCTTTTGATATGTGGACCACAAAACCGTAGTTTCAAGCTGTTGGTGTAATTCATGCCCTCAGCATTCTACTACAGTCTTGTAAAAGAAACATGACCTTTTTCTTTATAGTGAATTAAAAAAAAAAGAATTTGGAGCGAATTCAGCTAGGCTCTAGGCGATTTTTCTTAATTTTCAGTAAGTAACAAACATACAGTTTGATTGCTGTAGCAAGGAACTGTAACCAGGTGCTTTAAAGTACTGTAGTTTTCAGACTATCAATGTCTAATGAATCAGGCTTTCCTTTATGTGTGGGGAAAAAATCAAAATGGGATTGTGACCTGCAATAACATTCTCCTAAGTGCAAAGTTAAAGCAAGGACTTTAGTTTTTAAGAGTCTTATTTGAAAATAAACCTGCATAAAGTGCTGGGAATTCTACCTGGGACACTGGGAAGCTTAAACGAAAATGGCACAATAAAAAGGTATTCCGTAGTGTAACTATAATAGCAGATTTATACTATATGAAGGATAAAAATGCTTAGTCTGGCTGGTCTAATCACGCTGGCAGGATATTTTGCCAAACACTGTATCTCAGATGCTATGGAATGGGTTCCTTCAAAAAACTTCAAATTGCCTCTGGAAGAAGAAATGTCCATTTAGCATTTGTTCCTTTTAATGCTTTTTAACGATAGAAGGTTTAGCCTCAAACATGCCCCATCAGCGTCTCCGTGCTGTCAAGCTCCCGGGGTGCCAGTATTGGCTGATGGCCCAGAGCCCAGGGCGGGGAGAGCTCAGCGATGTCTTAGCTGCGGTGTAACCGTGCCGCACTTGTCCTCTCCGCAGGCGCAGCCTACTGCCAGTTCATGGACATGCTCTTCCCAGGCTGCATCAGCCTGAAGAAAGTGAAATTCCAGGCCAAGCTGGAGCACGAGTACATCCACAACTTCAAGCTTCTGCAGGCGTCCTTCAAAAGGATGAACGTCGACAAGGTGAGCGAGTCGCACCACGTTCTGTTGCTCTTCCATCGGGGTTATGTGACAAGGGCCCGGAGGTGTGTTCATTTGATTTGCAGTGTGCAGTATCCATTCAGGTTGTCTGTCTAGTGCACGGCTGTCAAGTTGAGCTTGTAAAGCATGGCCAGAAGCGGTGCCCTGGCTCTGTGGCTCAGGATCTGCTCTGGGCCTGTGGCTGGAAGGTTGCCGGTTCGTATCCCGCGGCCGGCAGAGGAATCCTCCTCCGTTGGGCCCCTGAGCAAGGCCCTTAACACCAACTTCTCCAGGGCTGACCCTGCGCTCTGACCCCAAGCTTCTCTCCCTGTCTGTGTGTCTCATGGAGAGCAAGTTGGGGTATGCGAAAAGACACATTCCTAATACAAGAAATTGTATCTGGCCAATAAAGTGATCTAGCCATGTCTCCTTGTAAAGCCTGTGTAATTGAAAGTAACACGTAATAAGCACAAAGTGTGTGTGAAACACCAGCGTGAAGGTGCTAAATGTAACCAACACTTTTTCAGCGCTGGTGTTACCAGGTTGCCCCTCCTGCACCTGAAGTCTGTTCTCGCCTTTCTTGTGATCCAGATTATTCCGGTGGAGAAACTGGTGAAGGGCCGGTTCCAGGACAACCTCGACTTCATCCAGTGGTTCAAGAAGTTCTTTGACGCCAATTACGACGGCAAGGAGTACGACCCGGTGCAAGCCAGGCAGGGACAGGATGCCATCCCGCCCCCGGACCCCGGCGAACAGATCTTCAACCTGCCCAAGAAGTCTCACCATGCAAGCTCCCCCACCGCAGGTAAGGCCGGAGTGGAGCCAGCAGACAGCCACCCCTGGCGGGCCTCGGACCGGCGCCTGTTGACTGCTGCTTCAAGGAGTTCCGGGTTGTAAAAGGGAGTTATCTGTTCTTTTCTGACAGAAAGTGTGATATTTTGGGAATCGTGTCTGGTGGTTGTTGCTGTCAGCTGTTGATTATGTTGCTGCATTTAGGTCTAAAATCCAAAATCTTAAGTTTCACTGTGATTAACTTATTTCTGCCTGCCCGGAGGAGTGTATTTAGGCGCTTCGACTAAATTGACTTCATTAAATAAGTTAAAAAGGAATGAATGAGGTGCTGTGTTGATAATGGGTTGGATACAGAGTGAAGCGTAGTGCTAGCACTAATAATTATAGTAAACTTTATTTTATATAGCGCCTTTAAAGTTGGCTTCTCAAAGTGCTTTACAGGATGACAACAACAATAAATCAGAAGAATACACAAGATAAAACACAATTACAATATACAGAGGAGACCGTGGATGGTGGTAATAAAAAAAAGCAGAGGGGTGAAGAATGGAACCAGTGAAGTAAAGGCTCTTCTGAAGAAGAAGGTTTTGAGTCTGGATTTGAAGGAGTTTAGAGAAGGTGACTCTCTGATATCCTTGGGGGATACTCTCTGATATCCCTAATGTCTTGGCATTTTGATGCAATGCTCAGTTACAAAAGATTAGTTCGTGTTTTTAGTTGTCTAAATTCAGAGAATTGGGTTTCACTTCAAATTCACATTTCTGGATTAAGCCAGTCTACCAAATTTCCATTCCCTCCAGGATATACACTGTGAATGTAGGGGGCTCTAGGAACTAAACAGAAGGTTTGTTACAACAGGAAATGTTCTTGCTTTTCTGTTTGACTAGCATCGTGAAGCAATGACTTGTCTATTCCACCTGAGTTCCTCTGCTTACAAACTGCAGACAAGAGGCTGGAGCAGTTCCTTTAGTTTATAGGTGATCTGTGGGAATCGTTTACTGTAGCTGGGCAGCTTTGAGAGAGAAAGCGGTAGTTTACCACATGGTGATCTGCCTCACCAAAGTACTGCGAGGTACGAGAAAGGCGTGTTCCACAGTATTGAGCACTGCAAAGTCAGAAAAAGAGCATCGCAGTCATTCAGCTCACTGTGCTGAATTTCAGCCTGCGTTCCCAGCTTCTGTGAGCCCAGGACTGCCGGGACTTGGAAATTGCTTAGCTTGCACAGCTCCAAGACTGTTTGTCAGGATTCCTTCATTTATCCTGCGGAAGAAAGATGTTGTTGTGTTTTTTTTTTTTATTTTTAATCTTTAGAATTTAGGCTGTGCTTGTGTTGCAGGGAAGTGAGTTGAAGCGAGCATATTATTGTAGAAGCTCCTTCTGTAATATACCATGTTATACAAATGTCTGCCTTGTGGTGCAATGCTCAATGCACCGTGGAGGTGATAATTAAAAATTCCTTCTTTGCGTGGGCTACATATGACAGCCCGTACTGTACCACACCAAGCTACATGCACCCTATAATCCCCAACTTCTGAGAGCACAATTATAGAACTGAGAATTACTCACCAACTACTAATGTATGCTTAAGTATATATACAGTATATAAAACCAATACTTATACTATATATACTCATGATACTTCCAGGAACTTGAAAAGTAGCTTTAATTTTTTGTTCCATAATTTAATAGGAAAGTACAGGCACTGTGCTCTTCATTTCATATGAATTTATACAGGAAACCTATAACGTTAAAAGATAATTACTGTGCTGCTTGAGCTCTCCAACAGGCTCAGTGGCTCATTAGCGACCTTTATGTTCTCTAAACCAGTGAGCTACAGTACAGAAACTTGGCTTTTTCTACAATTTGGCCTTTGCAGTTTTCCTAGACTCCTAGCTGACGTTTCCTGTCTCTGCAGAAAGTAATTGCATCGAGGTGCTGCGGGTTGTGATTAATTGTATATAAAATACGGTGGTTTATTGGGGTTGTTTCCTCTTTCTGCCCGTGACGCGTCAGTCCCTGTTCCCTGAGACTCGCGTCCCCCCGCCTCTTCAGCGGCCGTGTGGCCTGACTGCAGCTCTTGGAACAGCGCAGAGGATTTTACAGCTTTTCAGGGCTTAGGGAGGCCTCGTCTGTGGTTCCATTGGGTGCAAATACAGGCTTTAATAATTTTCTCTCGACTTCCTTTTGTGGTTCTGTCGTGCAGTTGTGTGGGTAACTTGGGGGTATTCTAGTTTTTGTTTCTCAAGAGCTCGGAGGGTGTGACTCAGACTGCTGTGTACACTGGAGGGTTGTGAGATGTCATGGTTTTTAGGCTCCGTACCACCTACATTTGAGTGAATATCAGACATTTTTAGGTTTTTCTTTAGAATTCGGTCCTCCCCCCCCCTTGACCGAAAAACTCTTCAGTTTTCTCGCCCACTTGAAGGAGGCCTTAAAATACCCTGCCATTTCTTGGCAACCAAAACCAGCGCCGAGAAGCCTGTGTGGAACATGGCTTGTTTCCTCGGGTCTTTGTTCTTGCATTCTGGCACGGCTTTTGTTTTTCTGAGCAGTCCGACATGGCTTACAGGCGAAGATCGTTCTCGGTTATACGTTATCATCCTCGTCCTTGGGTGCTACCATTCTGGCATTTCACAGGAATGTGAAACCCATTGAGCCCTGGTGTCTAAGGACTTGCGAGTGTGAGGGCTGCCCTAGCTCGGCTCACTCCAGCTGGGCTCCAGGAACCTCGTCTGATTTATTGACTGTTGTGTACTGTGCCGCCTACAGTATGGTCCGTGTCAGCAGCGTCGGGTCATCTTTTGTATTTTGTGTCGGTTGCTGTACTGTCATGTCCTGAGAGAACACGACTATTGTATCCGTACCTATGGCAAATAAACTCCTCTATCTAATTGAAGCCGCCTTTCCCAGTCCACGGATTTCGAAATCTGCCATGTTTGCATATCTCTGTGACGAAAGTGCCAGGAGTACCTCCTGACACCTTGCCTCAGTGAACAGGTTCTGCAGTACGATAGTCCCGCTGTGTCTTCTTGAAGGATCTGATAAGCACCATGCGTCATCGGAGTGTTATAAGGGTTATATGTTCTTATGATCTTCTATAAAAAGACATTTTATACTAACTCTACATTTTTAACAACTGGATTTATGCCTTAGGATCTCCAAGCACTTACTGAGGAGTGAATTATTGACCATGTCATGGATATCTTCATTTTGACTGCTAATATTACTTCCCTCTTTATTCACAGGTGCTGCCAGGTCAAGTCCAGCCGCAAAACCCTCAACGCCGTCATCCCGACCCTCATCTGCTAAAAAGGCACCTGCAGCAACCACTCCTGCCAAGGGGGAAAAGGAGTTAGAAGCGCAGGTCCAGCAGCTCAATGAGCAGGTACTGTACTCTGAGCAGGTTTAACACCTCGACGAGCAGGTACTGTACTCTGAGCAGGT